GATTGAGTTTAATGATGAAAATGGAATGTTTGCTTTTCTTTAACTAACTTTCTATAACCTGAACTGAATGATCTATGTCGGTAAAATGTTTTCCCTTCCTTTCAAACTACATGATGTTTTGTTGGTGCTTCGAAGCTCATATTGGGTGCTCAGCACTTAAAATTACTAACTGGAAAGTTTTAAACCCACTTGGCCAATTTGTTTCTAGTGGCTGGTGTACAAGCAGGCTGACAGATACACAGGAAGAGAAGTTCTGTCTCAGTAGAAGGTGTGTATGCAAAGGATTCTGTCTTAATCTCTCTTCTATTTTTCAGTGTACCTCAGATTCCAAATGTAATCATTATTAAAACCGGTTTCTCACTGTCTTGCAAAATTGCAGTTTCATTTAACTCATCCAATGAGCTGCCTTTCCAGTGCTGCCGCTGATGTTTACTTCTTAGTTCCTGCCAAATCCTGGCATACAGGGGTGGCAGACTATTCAACATGCTATGTTTAGGGATTTAGCAGTGTGACTCCCATTAACCTTAATGGGGATTCATGCAGCTTAATCCCCACCCTGAATATTTAACCTCCGCTGTCTCTGTCTTTTCCAGTCGGTATAAATTGCCTTGATGAGTGAAGTAAATAACAACAAACACACTCTGACTTTAATATGATATTTAAATGTATGCGTTTTCAAACTAGCCTTTTGTATATTGCACTTAACAACCATCCACTGCACATTCTCTTCCATGTATTGAGCCATGAAGCCTCTCCACAAACAGCACATGTGCCAGTCTGGGAAGAGAGGAGATGAAGGTCAGAGTCAAGTGGTATGCACATTATTACCCACGTTACAAAAATATGTCCAAATAGCCTTCCCCCTGCTATGGCCAGTTAAATCTGAATAGAGTATGCTATATAGCTCCTTTCCAGATTAAGTCCTCCTTTTGAGTTTCATGTTTTCTTTCAGCAGAATGAGGTCCTCAAAGCGTGGCCTCCATAAGTAGCAAAAGAAAGTGGGAATGAGCTGCTGAGGTGGCAGAATGCACTATCCACTTCAGAAGGCAGGCATAGAATCCCATTTTTAAATGTTCCTCCATATTATAAGGATGGGTTAGCTCCCATTGCTCGGTCCCTGCTCCTGCCAACCTAGCAGTTCGAAAGCATGTCAAAGTGCAAGTAGATAAATAGGTACTGCTCTGGCGGGAAGGTAAACGGCGTTTCCGTGCGCTGCTCTGGTTCGCCAGAAGCGGCTTAGTCATGCTGGCCACATGACCCGGAAGCTGTACGCTGGCTCCCTCGGCCAGTAAAGCGAGATGAGTGCCGCAACCCCAGAGTTGGCCACGACTGGACCTAATGGTCAGGGGTCCCTTTACCTTACCATGTTATAAGGGAGATGTCTTTAGTATATTATTCTCTGATGCGGAATTTTTTATTTTATTTAACTTTCAGGGAGTTTGTTTACACCAGGGACTATTCAAAAAGGGTATCTCCCACCTGAAATTTGAAATGGTACATACCATAATTATATTGCCTCATGTTATCCCCCAATTCTGCTGCATTTGTAAAGGAGGCCTTAATGTGCCCTTTTGGAGTTACAATTTTTCCTGAAGGCATTGATTTAGGAAAACCAGGTTATAGGAGACCAGACTGAAATAGGTCCAGATAATTAGCTTCCTCCAAGCACACCTGAAGTTGAATAGCCATCAACAGTGTTGGACACCTTGGCCAGAAAAGGGATATTTGTGACTTGACAATAGTTGTCGCAAACCTCTAGAACTATGGAAGGCTTGTTGAGGAGGAACTGTGCCAGCGTTCTTTGGACCCACCAAGTGAATCTCTCCAGCTGGCTCGTACCAGCAAAGATAGACAAGGGTTGAGAACACATATGGTAGGCTAAACTCCCCCAAGCACTCTGTACACTTCACCAGGCCACAAAAACTGAAACTGATCCCACACTATCGGAACAAAGGGCACTCTGTACACTTCTAGATCTGTACTACAGTGCTGCTTGTGGCAAATACAAGCAATTTTACTAACTTCAAAGTCAAACTAAGGTGAAAAGAAAGGGGGGAAATCTTAAAAGTTAAATTTATATATTTACAGATATATAAACTTTTCCATAGATTCCTGTGTCTGAAAATGCCCAACAATAGCTGCACAGTGTATTCTTCAGGGTCCCAATTAAGATACTGAACTGCTGTTCTCTGTATGATAACAACCTGAAGTGCTGACAACACGCTACCTGTCAACAGGCAAATGAAGGCCAACCATCTGTTCTACTATAAATTGTCTCCATTACCTTAGATGTGGAAATCTCTTTTAAAGACACCCTAATTATCTGGTAACCTGAGCTAAATGATGCAATATTATTTTAACTAGACCTGCCATTAAAAACAGGGGGAAACAAACATTAGAAAATTTAAAGAAAGAAAAGTTATTGAAAACAACATTTGATTGCATGTCTGGGAGTCTGATGAACATGCTTGCTTAGGTATGTGGATGGTTGCTTTCTAGAATCAGAACTATAGAAAGCAGCAGTTTAGGACACTTTCAGATGTCATACTGAGTTTCCGTTGTCACAGAGAAGTACAAATCAAGACTCCCAGAGTCCTCTTCTCTCAAATCACTGTTCGAGAAAATTCCGAGTAATACGTGAAATGGCACGTTGTTTGAAATTCATATATTCTACTAAGCATATATGGAAATTAATAGATTTACCTATCAGACAGGCAGGAAAACAGCATTAAAGGCAATGACATATTCTGTAGTTTTGATGATGGAATATATTTTCAACAAGCACTATATTTCTGCATCTAGCTGAAATAATTAATGCATAAACAGCATATTTACATAACTAGCTGAAATAATTAATGCATATACACCAAAACTTGATTCTTATAACCAGCACCCATATAGTTAGTGAATGGTGGTTATGAAAACAGCAAAACAATGGGAGCTATAGTGATCAGAAATGCTATTATGAAGATACTTCCATACAAAATTATTAGCATCACTTCAGTAGAGCTATTAAAACATCTTTACATATCTGTTATATAGTTATTTCATGGTTTTTATGTGAAATTTTATTTATTATTCATTTTGTTTAAGGGCGGTTTACAATAATAAAACACAGATTAAAATGCATTTTATACTGTGCTGCTTTTTGTATTACTATTATTTTTGTGAAATTGATTTGTCTGAGGAGAAACACATTACAAACACCAAAAAGACAAATGGCAGAATAGTATAAAATAAATATACCAAAAAACAAGTCATTGGTGGTTTTTTGCGGGGGGGTTAAAAGTCAATCTTAAAATGAAACCACTAGCTGGGAAAAATGTCTATGAGTCTAGAAGCCAATAGACTGTTGCTATTTTGGGGTGGGATTCAGTCACATACCAACATATTGAGGTTGTGCAATTATCAGGACCAGCAAGGATCCACAGGTGCCAGAATCCACAGAGGCAGCAAATCCCAATGTAAATCTTTATTTTTACATATTTCTACCTTGCCAGTGAGGCAAGGTGAAGCAAGGTGAGGCAACTGGGGCAGCAGATGCAGATGTCAATCTTTCCTCCCCTTGTTCCTGATGTAGAGCACCTCTGACCCCTTTCTTCCTTGGTGGAAAGTTGGATGCCATTTGGGGGTCTACTACAGGGGCCAAAATGTCTTGGGCCAGCCCTAGCAGTTATAGTTGATTGAGAGGTCTTGTGCAACAAAGTCACTTCCCAAACCATTGGAATTTTTTGCAGTAAGGAAAGTGACAGGTAAATGCACTGCAAATTGTGGGGTAACACTTTGGTGCAACATCATCTAATCTCTCTGCAACAAATTCAAATGACTGCTCATTAAATATTGTTATTGTTAGCCAACATTGTCTGCAAACAAATCAGGATGAATGCTCAATAATCAAATTGTCTAGAAGCACTCTGTGCCATCAAAATACTGGCTTGTCAGAAATACACTAGACTATAATATCATAGATGTTTCAGGAGTAAGTTATTAATCTGTAGCTAAAATAGTGGACTCAAGACATTATACACAAATTGGAGTTTATCAACATCAAGAATGAACCATAATTTGGAGCAACAACCAGCCTGTTTTTATTATGTCATTTGCAAGTTGTTTTGCTTCCAATGTTTTTGGTCATTGGGTTGGATCTAGATTTTATGGATGGAGAGTCTTCTTCTGTACTTGGTGATCTGTGATCTGTGGCAGATGGGGTAGACAACTTTTCTGATACCCCTACCCTCTATAAACTCCAGTGGCACCTACTACACCATTTTCAGAGGATCCCCAGAAGAATGTATTTGACATCCTTTGATGTCTTATACATTTCTTGCTCCACCTACTTTTGTATCTGACTCTGCAAGGTTACCCAGAAGGGAATGTGGCAAAGGTTCCCAATCCCTGACATATTCTTTCCTAAGCTAACTCATGACTTTTAGGAAAGATGGAATAACATCTCCTCCAAAATAACAATTTCCCATTTGTTATAAATGGCATTATTCAGGGAATTGGGAATTGTTTAGAATTCATGTTTCATAGTCCAACAAACGGGTTGCATTCACTTTTAGCATGCCAGCTATGTGTGTGCATATGTGCTTTACATTTCTGTTATCTGTAAATCTCACATTCATGTCTTACTTTATGGGTCTATGTATATCAACCAATGTCTATTTCAGGCTTCCTCAACCTCAGCCCTCCAGATGTTTTGAGACTATAGTTCCCATCATCCCTGACCACTGATCCTGCTAGCTAGGGATCATGGGAGTTGTAGGCCAAAAACATCTGGAGGGCCAAGGCTGAGGAAGTCTGGTCTATATGCACCTAGCATCTTCAGAGTCTGTAGGTTGTTGATAGTAGGTTGTTGACTACAAAAGATCATGCCAAAATATATTTTTTTAGGCATCACAGCATTTCCCCCCTCTTTTTTAATGTACACTTTGGACACTGTTATGTGCGAGCCACCTCGAGGCGTTATATATCATAAAAGCACAATAAGAATCCAAAAGGGAAGTGTGATAGATCAATGACAAAGCATCTGCTTTGCATGCAGAATGTCCCTGGTTCAATTCCTGGCATCTCCAGGTAGGAGAGTAGCCTGTCAGAAATCCTGGAGAGCCAGGGTTACTCAGTATAGTTAATGTGTAGCCAGATGGACCAATGGTCTGGCAATAAGTGAAGTTTTTTCTAGGAGATACTTTTAAACCCAGTATCTAAATTTTGGATGTTATGTACAGTACTGATATACTCTTTAAAAATCCATTTTTTCTGCCAGATTTTAATCTAAATTCACTTTGTTTGTTGACTTCTTATATTTCAGAAGGCATATCTTTTAAGAAATTGAACTCGGTAGCTGTTCCAGGAGACCTTTCTATTAAATGAAATTGGATCAACTCATGATTATGTGAGCCAAAGTTATGTCCAATTTACCACTTTTCTCTCATGATTTTGCTGTTCTCCTGGAACCAAATTTGACTTAGCATCTCATCTTGGTTGAGTAGGAGGATAGATGATGGAGAACAGGATTGGTTATCACATACATGAGTAGTTGGGGTCTCCTTTTGTTGGTGGCTTTTATTTATTTCCAGATCTATATCAGGAAAATTAAAGTCATTCATGATAACATAATGCAGATTGGTATATTGTCCAAGATTGCAGGTCTATAGCACACCCTTAATTTTAACTCAGTTGGAACCACTCTTGTCATTCTTGCTTCAAGAGATCTTAGGCCACACTGATTATGACTGATTGTTCACACATTATTATCATCAGTACAGTTGTGTTGTTGGATGTATAATGCAATCTCATCATTAGCTCAGTCTTTCCTTTATAGCTCAGACTCATCAATGTCAGCATTTCAATCATGGCTACTATTTTATCACATTCAAATGATCTCTAAAAATACCTAGGTTCTATCCTGCATCTGATTCATTCCTCCATGTATGAGTATATACATGCCGTGCCAGGCCGCGTTCTCAGATGAGAGTACATCTTAAATCTTTATAGGTGTAAGATTCCATGCTCTTAGCAGGCACTGATATCAGAGCCAATAACAAGCAAAGGCCTGTTTTTCAGAAGTCACTGACCAAGACATGGCAGCTTATTAGAACAAGTATACTAAGTAGCCCATGAACCAGAGGTTCCATTCTAGGAAATCAGTTCAAATCCAATGGGCCAAACTCATCTCAGATCCACCCATCCAAAAACCCTCGTAGTTGCTTTGCTATTGTTTCAAATTCCTGACCTATCACAATGGGCAAAATCACAGAGAGACCCAGTCACAAAAATCAGGCAGAAAAAAATCCTATCAGTCTAGTAAACCTTACTAAATCCTTTCAGATTTTCAAATCCTAAAGTGGCCAAAACAACAACATCAACCCATGTCCCTTCCGGATCTGCACTCCGGGAAAAGGAAGGTTGATAAAGGAAGAATAGGGAGGGGAGCTGTGGGGTCTGTCTGTTTTCCTCACAGTTCCTTCTTGATTTTTTTTAACACAACCTTGCCTTCTTATTCAAAAGGTGGAAGAGAGAAGCTATAAAGGAAAGCCATGAAGTCACCAGGCCAGTTAAGTATTCAGCAATTTGGGCCACTCCTGGGCAACCTTCTGCTCCTTACCTCCACAAGAGGACACAAGGCTTTTAGCAGACCTGCTCCCCTCTCTTCCCCAGGCCCCTCTCATGGCCACAAGCCACTAGAGGTCTTCCTTTCCCCTCCCATTTTCCAAGGGCACCTTAAAGCCTTTCATAGGTATTCGTATCTCTTGGAGGTCTTTATCAGGCTTATAATATCCCTCAGACCTTTTTGCAGGCCTGTCTCATCATCCTACACACCAACTAGCACCGCACAGCAAATCAGTCGGCTCTGTTCCTTCTTCCTTTCTTAATTTTTCTCTGCAGAACTTCTCCGCAGCACCAGCACTTCTCAGCTGGTGCTGGTAGTCACTCACTGAGACATCCTTCTTACTCTTATTCATGTGCACTTCAAATCTTCCCATTGCAGCAAGTGGGTCCAGCCAGTCGGTCACTGCCTGGCCAGTTAGAGCTCCTCCGTCCACCTCCCATCTTATTTGTGGCTTGGTTGTACTTTTCATTCCACACTCCATCATATAGCTGATTGCCATTCAGGGGAAGAATGAGTTAACGTTGACTTTTGTATGCAGGCAAGCAGCTCCTTGAGCAACAGATCAGCACCACGGACAGTGTGGGCAAGCCACACAATTGATTCGGGCTTCAAGCTTCACAAGTAAGGCCACATCCCTGTACAAGGGGCAAAAGTGAACAGTGGAACAAAAGAGAAGTTGCTAAAGCTACTTAGGTCCTTAAATATACTGGTTGGAAAGCAAAAGCAGTGTTGGAATATACAAATTCCCAGAAAACTAATACCACAGGCTCCCCAAATTTCATAATCTTTGTTCAAAAACAAGGTCAATGAGTTTCATATGGAAAAACTGAAATGAGAACTACATCATGGCAGAGACGAGAACAGCTCAATTCCCAGTTTAGAACTGGTTGTATAGAGCAGGGGTCAGCAACCTTTTTCAGCCATGGGCCGTTCCACCGTCCCTCAGACCATGTGGTGGGCCGGACTATATTGGGGGGGGGATGAATGAATTCCTATGCCCCACAAATAACCCAGAGATGCATTTTAAATAAAAGGACACATTCTACTCATGTAAAAACACGCTGACTGTCCACGGGCCAGATTGAGAAGGCGATTGGGCCATATCTGGCCCACGAGTCTTAGGTTGCCTACCCCTGGTATAGAGCATTGGTACTTTGTGATTTGAAAGAATCTGAACCTCCAGCATAAAAGCACTTCTAGGACCCGTTCAACATTTTGATGAAATTTAGTTTGAGTCAACAATTGAAGCTCTAGAACTATGAGACAAAATTGGTCAGCAATATTCCCCTAAGCACAGATAGGAAAAAGTATACAAAATGTTATTTCTGCCATAATTTTAGGCTTTCATGCACTACAATACAGATGTGCAAATATATGTTAATCAATATATTGTATTAAGAGCAAAAACTGCTTTTGCTACATGATAGATGTTTCATAGTATCTCATAATTAGTTTTGTTAGGTTATTTTAATTCTGTTTCTATTGGCAAGATGCAGTATGAAATATCCACTAATTAGATAGGAAGTTCCCCTAAAGACATCTATCAACTGTTTCTATTAATATGGGCATCTATGAGTAGGTAGGAAGGAAGAACATTCAGGAACAACTTTTTAGTTAATTAAATTGATGTATGGCTGCAAAACATTTTTCCCACCTCAACAAATGCTTGATCATGTCTCCTTGACAACCATTTTAAAACTTTCCACAGTCTTATTTCTGAGTGAAAGATAATCCTGAAGCCCACAGGACCAGAATATGTTGAATCCACACAATATACATTCTTCATATATTAGGCAAAATGCATCTCAGCTCTATTAAGTTCATAGAACAACAGACAAAAGATTTGTTCTTTTCTTTGTTGTTACCGTAGATAATTAGATTATCATTATATTTATTACAGGGGTACCTCAGGTTACAGATGCTTCGGGTTACAGATGCTTCAGGTTACAAACTCCACTAACCCAGAAATAGTACCTCGGGTTAAGAACTTTGCTTCAGGATGAGAACAGAAATTGTGCGGCGGCGGCAGTGGGAGGCCCCATTATCTAAAGTGGTACCTCAGGTTAAGAACAGTTTCAGGTTAAGAACGGACCTCCAGAACTAATTAAGTTCTTAACCCGAGGTACCACAGTATATACTCTTCACCATCAGGTTCCAGGGCAGGTTGCAACAATTTAAAAATCAATACTAAAAATAGTTAAAACAATTTACAGTCACAGGAATAGGGTGGGTCCTGAAAATGCACATTTCGGGTGTCAAAGGCTAGCATAAAGAGGCATAATCTGGCTGCTGTATTTTGAACCAGCTGAGGTTTCCAAGTTGTCTTCAAGGGTAGTCCCGTGAAGAGCACATTGCAATAAGCCAATTTGGAAGTTATCACAACAGGGAGTACCATTGTCAAGCCATCTCTGTCAAAAAGAAGCTACAGCTGGTAGACCAGCCATAGCTAGAAATGGGCACTCATAGCCGCTGCCTCATTAAAGGCAGATGGTGCCTCCTCGCCTCCCCTCCAATGTAGAATTGATCATTCCCTGGATCTACTCAGGCAGTTCCTAATGGTTAGCTTTAAGAAGCCAACATAGGCAACGATTAAGGGGGCAAGTGGTCAGCTGCCCTTCTTCAAGCAATTTGTTTGCATTATCAGGGTGCAATGGAACAGATGGAACAGACAGTATATTGGATACATCCATTGAATTTGATCTAATTGTGAAATCCAACTCTTTGAATCTGAGCAAATTTGCCCCAAAGTGCCTCTCAGCATTGTTTTTGTGAGCTGCTGAGGGTATCCGAGCAACTCTCTCTTGGCCAGGTGACAAAAGCCCATTCACCACGCAGAAAAACTATTCCAGACTGCTAACTGCAGATGCAATGGTAATGGAGCAGAAAGTTTTTGCCATCACTGTCGCGTGGTAGGGACAGTTATGGAACCTCACATGTGTTTGGCCAGGTTTACACCAAGATTTACACCGTTTGTACTCTACCTGTCAAACTTCCTGTTTTATTGAACACGAGGACACTCAGGAGTGATTGTGTTGAAGACTTATCGCTTACTATTTCACATTATGACCACAGTCTCAACAGAAGCACCATCCATATCAGCCAGAAAATCCCCCAGAGCATTCAGGAATCCATCATATACCATAATTATCCAAGGGCGGACCACTTCAGGACATCCTCCACCCCTGCAATGCGAAATTCAGCCCAAACCTTACTAGGGAATGATCCATCCATTACAACACACTCACAATAAGACCCCAATCAGCTGAATATTATCATTCTGCTCTGTGGTATATACCAGGCCACAAAGGTTCCTTAAAACTGTGTTAAACTATAGTTTGTCTAAGTATAGCCAGTGAGTTACGTTTATAATGCTTACTCAAGGATAAAAGTGATTGCTGTGGGTGACTGCATATTATTAAAATCCGTAATTCTTATAACACAACAAAAATATGAGTCATTTAG